TCCACAGTCTGTGTTGATTTGGGGAGCCATGTCATCTGCTGGTGTTCCACTGTGCTTCATTAAGTCCAGGGTCAACGCAGCTATCTACCAGGAGAGTTTGGAGCACGTCATGCTTCCTTCCACAGACGAGCTTTATGAGGATGCTGACTTCATTTTCCAGCAGGACTTGGCACCTGCCCACACTGCCAAAAGCACCAAAACCTGGTTCAATGACCGTGGGATTACTGTGTTTGATTGGCCAACAAACTCACCTGACCTGAACTCCATAGAGTATCTATGGGGTATTGCCAAGAGAAAGATGAGAGACATGAGAACGAACAATGCAGAAGAGCTGAAGGCCGTTATTGAAGCATCCTGGTCTTCCATAACACCTCAGCAGTGCCACAGGCTGATAGCTTCCATGCCACGCCGCATTGAGGCAGTAATTGCAAAAGGGGCCCAAACCAAGTACTGAGTACATATGCATGCTTATACATTTCAGAGGTCCCATATTGTTCTCTGTACAATCCTTGTTTTATTGATTGCATGTAATATTCTAATTTTCTGAGATTTTGGATTTTCATGAGCTGTAGGCCATAATCATCTCAATTATGACAAATCAAGGCTTGAACTATCTTGCTTTGCATGTAATGAGTCTATCTCATATATTAGTTTCACCTTTTAAGTTTCATTACTGAAATAGATTAACTTTTGCACGATATTCTAATTTTTTGAGTTTCACCTGTACATTTTAAATTTATACTGTATATAACAACCATGTCTTTTAGTATATTAAAAGTATCGTGTTAAAGAGCAATTAAATATTTGGTGTACAACTAATAAATGTTTTAAAACAGCTTGATCTAAAACAATTATAATTATTCTGATGCAGAAAACCATCATAAAGTTGATTAATAAAAGAACTGAAAACAACTAATATCTTCAGTGGTTTTCTAAAGCCAAAAGATTACTGTGGTGAGATAATAGCATATTCTGCATCATGCAGAACCTCAAGATCTTTGTTTATTCGTTTGGGGGAAATGGTGCTTCAAATCATTTAAACAATCAATTAGAGGGCTCTATAAAATTGTTAGGAATGGAGTGCTTATCATCTTTTAACTGGCGTACTGGAATCTCAAAATATTATACAATTAATGCATGAGATCAGACAGGTTAAGATAATAACATTTTGTTTGTTCCAAAGTTTTTCCTTAGATATCAAAAGTTGCATACAGCATAAGAATTTTGGGGCATATTTTTAAGCTAGTAATACAATAGTAAATGATAAGTCTTCTCTTTTTTTCAGAATTCCTGAATCTTGATACTTATTCTTACAATGCTGACAATTAACCAAGGCGTGTATTTTTTCCTCCCCACAAAATAAGCAAAATTGGTATATGGGCAAATCCATAAAAGTAAGATTGGTTTCTACTATACAAGCTACCCTTGATAACTTCAGGTTAAATATGGTCATATAGTATTAGTATTATTCAGGGTTAAGTTACTTAATTAATTTCTATATCTAGGAAATTGTAACAAGTAACAGCAGACAATGAGGGTTCATCATTTATCTCCTCTGCAGTGCAGTAATGACTGACCTACATAAAACTTTCAAATTTCCCCTGGGATGTGATAATTCATGTGAGAGGGGCCTCAGGCATTTAGCAATACATTTTGGAAAGGTGATAAATGTTGTGACTCAGAGGGTTGAGCCTGCTCTGTTAGAAGACACAGACTCGAGTAATGAGG